CTACAATATAGGTAAATGTTTACTAAAGTATAACATACAATCGACATAAACACTTATATATGCGTGTAACATTAATGTCCTTTTCATGTTCACATACTTTCTCTTTCTGGTATTCTGCTGCTGCGCATAATCTTCTATCTATCTTCTGGTCGAGGTCGAACAACCCTGCACCTAAACTGAAATAAAGATAGATTCCAAACCATTTATCTCATAACCACTCAAATTCCATGAACGATCCAATTCTTCCATTTGAAGACGCTGGCGAACATGCTGTCAATGAGTATTCATGATCTGAAATGAAGAAGCAACTGGTTTTCAACATTTTACTCAACTTACGAATACAGTCCGCTATGCAGACACAAATGGAGCAAATGGAGAATTCTGGAGTCGACCTCGGCACCACTTGATGCAGCAAAACAACCCAACATGACCTTACCTAGTTTTCGCATCCACGATCAAGTTGCTTTCCTGTTGTAAAACTACGATACGACTGCTGAAAAAATGGAATTAATATATCACTTATCTCAACATAATACATCAATAAACTTCGAGCCAAGGGTGCTGTCCACAACAAAGTTATATAGGAGAATTGACTTCAAGCTTTTTTCCCAGATATTTGTATTATATTCATCTGATGTCTGGGTTTTTCATTAATGCGAAGACAATATTTCTATATCTCTTTATGCATAACACAGACAGAACTTTATATCAGACTGTTCCGATTGACTTTAATGTCAGAAAGAAGAAGCAAACTGTAAATTCATCATACATCAAATTATGTGTAATTTATATAATGACTTCTGTATAAGGAGGGAGGGTGGCGTTAGCTGATCAGTAGATATGGTGGGGGTCACTAAGGTGAATCGCCCCATTCTGCAGGAACAGCAATATACAAATTAAAGGCTCGAGATATTTCTGATTTTTATGAGGGCTTAGATCTTTATCTTGAAAAAGATAATAATGAACACCTTGACAGATCATGCTTCTACCTTTAAATATATACCATTCGATCAGCCTATTGTTGAGACGCGACCACGCGGGATCTGCACAGATTTATGGGGCATCTTATAAACTAACTTGCTGTCCATTGTCGGATCTTTAAATACCACTTCACAATGTCTTATCTCATTCATTTTCCAATAACGTCTTTACTTGATCCTCATTTTACTCCATTAAAACTAACATTTTACAGCTCTTTATGAATTATTATATTCCTACTCTCTGAAGGGTACGGTTGTGCACTAAATGCACAAAAAGGTATAAAACAAAAACAACTGGCACAACTGAGGATAAATGTATTAAATCCAAAAGTGGACATCATGATAGTACGAGATATACGTGTAGCATTATACATTGCAAATGAACGTTGTCAGCCTAGGGAGTTTCCTTTATTAATGCATTTATTAATGATACTTGCACTTACCTATTTCATTACAATTTAATGATTCACCTCAGCAATTTTACTTTTCTAAAACAGCTTTAAATCCCTTGTAAACGTTGTACCTACTTCAAGATTGGTTGGTTATCGTATGCCGACAACCACGGAATGAAAACGAAACGAAGCCGATTTTCCCGCTCAATCTGGAGGACAGTTGTACAATTCAATAACTATACGGCCTGGTTCAGACAATGAGTGTAATTATATATATATATATCAAATACTTAACTGTTGAAACATTATTAACTTGTAGACAATCTACGATTTGATATTATATCATACTTGATCGTGCCTGTAAAAATGGCATGCATTTTCATGTAAATTTATGTTTATATGAGAATATACATTATTATTATTATTATCCATGTCTGCACAATTGGTATGTTCCTGCATAAACAGGAAGAAATACATATTTTTTCTTCCAGTCCTCAGGTACTTTGCCCTCTTTCCACACCTTCTCCAGTAGTGGTGTCACCTAGTCAGCTGATGCCTTTGGGTCCATTTTCAATGCCTCTGCTGTGATTCCGTCTAGTCCTGCTACTTTATCAGTGCTTAGCATCTTTACCAACCTCAGGATTTCTGTTCTAGTCGGGAAGTTGATGTCCACTGGTAGTTTTGCTTCCATTGTTGGTATTCTTGGACGCGTTGTAGGTGACAGTCGATCTAGAAGTCTTTTGAAGTGTTCAGTCCAGTGTTTCCTTTGCTCCACCTCTTCGGTGGTCGACTTTCCATTGTCATCCCAAAATGACTTAAACTGCGTCGAACTTTTCCCCGATAGATGCCATCAAATGTCCAGGTCTAACTACACTGGAATTCACACTGTCCTTAGAAGACTTTCAACAACTATGTCCGATGACCAACGCGAAAAACCAGAGCACAGTGACTCAAGAATCCTTTATTCTTGCACCAATATAGAACCAACCATGGGGTTATTGTACACAAAGTCTAAGAGTAAATGTCATATGAATAAATCACAATAATACTTCTGATAGCGTTTTTCCGTCTTCTAATGAACACTGAACGATGGAACGATGACTGCAGTATAGATGACTCCCGTCAAAATATAGAGTTGGGTTTGAGCAAACAACCATGAATTGATCGTTCAAAATTTCAACTATATTGACTGATACCTAGTTGTCTGGTAGGGTATTGCAGGGTCTCCTTTGCCTGCACTGCAGCTTGTTCCGTTTCACTTGTCATACCAAATCTCTTCCTCTCACTTGCAGCCTCGTGCGTAGTGCGTGCGTTCCATGTCCCCACACATGCTTTTTGTTTCTCTGCGAGGAGACTCATCGTACAATAGTTTCTATAACAACTATGTGTACTAGGCGGGGTTGCTGGCCTCACACCTGAGGAGGATTATGTTACATACGTATGTAATTTACAGAGGAGTGACCTTTTGAGATTCCCTCTTTAGAATCAGGAAAATAAGAAATAAGGCAATCAGAAAAACAACGGTAGAAAAGTCACAACAGGAGAAGCAGAGACAACAACAACATGGACAGTAGCAACAATGTCACTGTTAAGAACACTTACCAAAAATGACACTTTAACCACAGTCTCACTGACCTGGATCAACTTGGGCATGCACATGCAATGATAAGTGCAGCGCGGATATTAATGTGTTAAACAGTCACAAGGTGGCAAACAGTCAGTTATAGGTATTATTAGTCGACAAGATTACATCCACAGAATCGGTGTTGGAGGGTATACGAATTACGGTAAATTCTACAACTTCCCGGCCGGAAACACAAGATATAAGGGTTTTATGTAACCAAGTAAACGTAACCCAATTCTAAAAGTGTGCCAAGGTCAGGCGAGTCTAGGTTTAGTCCTGAAGGCCCAATGGAATTCCACAGATAACCATGAAAATGCTTCTACTGTTCACTTAGTGATCGCTATCAAGTATATTAGATAAAATCAAGCCTCTCATAGAATTCGTTTGACGTTTTTGGAATCATGGGGAAGGGTATATAGCGGCAAATTGATTCAGCCAGCTAGTAGCGAAACATTCTTTTTTCACACTTATCTCTCAAAAGAAATGAGTACAGCATACATGTGTATTTCAAGCCAGCGCTGTTTCGGCTGAACTAGTCACTAAAATCAAGTAATTCGTTCAAGATGCAAGCCAGTTCTTAACATACAGCCATGATTCCTGTGGCCAATTTTAGTTGAAGTCAACCAGAAAATAGACTGGCCTTCAGGAAGCATATATGTTTATAAGGAGGTCGCCTATACAGATTAATGAAGTAGTATGGCACCTCAGATCCCCCGTAGTAGAATGAAGTAGAAAGGTAAAAAGTTATTAACTGTACGCTGTGTATTCCTGACAAATAAAAGGTAGGAAACCAGCGAAGGTTCAGTTCCACGCATAATTTCAGATGTTGCGTCGTCTCTCATCCTGTGGGGCACCAAGGCGTGAAATTTGAAAACTGTTTGTCAGTTCCAGATGTTCACGAATATCTGCATATTGGGGAGAATGTCAAATGTCACAGGTCTCATGATATGTTTTCCACTACTTGCGGTGTTTCATGATAGGCGAAGCAGTTGTCTTATTTTTCGGTAGCATAACCTGGTGAACTCCTAAAAATTTATCGTGAACAGAGAGGTACTTTTAAGTCAAAAGATCAAGAGTCAAATGTGCACGTCCAGGAACACTAAAATAGTTGTTCCAGCTTTACAGAACAACTAAGAACCAATTATTCATGTAATCATAACATTATTAGTGGAACAATGCATTCTGTACACAGTGAATTCAGGGCTGACTAGTTAACTGAACCAAAGGTTATAACCACAGGAAGTTTAACCAGTTAACAGAAAACTAATTCTCTGGTGTGGTTGTCAGCCACTACTTTGTCGAATGTGCTGTCTTCCTCCACATTACTGGGTATTTGAATGCACAATCAAGTAATCGGTGAGCCCAGAGAAGTGTCACACCGATTATATGACACTTCACATATTCTTAAAAAACTTGTGAGCATGTTGCATTAATCAGAAGGGTCGACAGATGGATTGATAGCAGTGATGATTCAATGAAGTGACTTATTGGCTAACAGCTTTCACGAAATGAATGCATATACACAAACGAATTGGAATGGTTGAGTTAGGTGGTGGATTTTGGGGGGTATATTGATAATGTTCCAGTCACCTCCTGACATTCACCGATTGCTATGGCAGAATGAGTTTTGTGATGTGGGAAGGCACAACTTGTAGATTCGATGCTATTTCTCTTGCATGCGAAGAAACAGTGGTGCTTTGCCAAACTATATAGTATATGAAGTTCGTAAAAATCATATTGACTGAGTAATCTTTACTGATTAAGCAAACGCTACGATGAGCAGTCCATTTACTCTTCTTCACAATGTCACCTCTTCGGATAATTTCGTCTCTCACCACGCACAGAAAGGCAATTTAAATGTAAGCATAACATTCGTGAATCAAATGGGCCTGAAAATATCCAGTTAGTTTATATTGCGTTATGATGAAGACGAATAAATGATATTGGATGTGGATAACTCTGGAGCGGTCTAAGAACAGTTGCGTTACAAAATAAATAGAAAAGATGTTAGCTTTCTTTCAACGCATCCTCGATTGGATTCGAAGTCTTTTCTGGAAAGAAGAAATGGAGCTGACGTTAGTTGGTCTTCAGTATTCAGGAAAAACCACGTTTGTCAACGTGATTGCCGTAAGTGTGATTTTTCGTTTAATTAATAATTCAGTCCGGTCAATTTGTTGAAGATATGATACCTACTGTAGGTTTTAATCTGCGTAAAGTTACGAAAGGAAATGTGACAATAAAGGTTTATCGTTTTCCTGTAGTATATTTGTAGATGTGGGACATTGGCGGACAACCTCGCTTCAGAAGTATGTGGGAACGTTACTGTAGAGGAGTAAATGCTATCATGTACTGTCCCGTGCTATTTGATTTATATACTAAAGATATATGGTAGACGCTGCTGACCATGAAAAGTTGGAGGCTTCACGCAATGAACTTCACAGTTTGCTGGACAAACCTCAGTTGCTTGGCATTCCGGTACTGGTACTGGGTAATAAAAAAGACTTACCAAATGCTCTTGCTGAACACGAGCTCATTACGGCACTCAATTTAGGAGCAATTACAGACCGCGAAATATGCTGCTATTCCATTTCATGCAAGGAACAAGAAAATATAGGTGGGTTATATTCACTCGGTTGGAAATTATCTTGTTAGAAATGCAACTTTTGTTCCGTGTTTTATTAGGAACTAACTTAGTTGCTTACATCCATAATATGTAGGTAGCTTTAAAACCCTGGTTACTATAGGTACACGTATATTAAAGAGCAGATAAAAATGTGCAACCAGTAAGTGTATAAGTCCTCAAAACAAGGTATCAAAAAGACTTTCGACTTCCACTTTTTGTGGATTACACCTACACTGATAAATTAGCAACTTTTTACAAATCTATGCTTCAAGTTACTAGCTATAACTGGTACCCATTAAAGTATAACTAGAATGCTCACTGAGATGACTAAAGTACATTACATTTTGCCTGGCTATTGCGTCGTTTTATATGAAATCATGATTAGAGTGGCAGTCGATTGAAGATTTTTTAAGTAGCTTTAACCTTCTAAACAGTTTGGCTATCGCCACCTTAATGTTCTGATCCAACGTGTATATAGGCCCAATAATCATGCGTAGACTAAGTGGTGCTCGGGAGGAACAAACACGGGAGAGCCAGGCAGGCTTTAGACCAGGAAGAGGGTGTATTGATCATATCTTCACTCTCCGACAGATTCTAGAACATAGGAATTCCTACCGGTGTCCAACAATCATTATATTTCTTGACCTAAAGGCAGCTTTCGATTCTGTCGATCGAGAGGTTCTCTGGAGATGCTTGGCTGTAAAGGTAACGCTGAGAAAATACATTGCACTGATTAAGGCACTCTACTCGTACTCATACAGCCAGGTGAGGGCTTACGGCGAGCTGTCATTTGAACTGATGACGACCAGTGGTGTCCGTCAAGGATGTCCATTATCCCCATTTCCATTCAACTTCATCACAGATGTACTAATGGACTTGACCCTGAGTGACTTCAGCGACTCATGGATTGACTCGCTACCGGGGAATAATCTCGTTGACTTAGAATATGCTCATGATATAGTCCTTCTAGGTGAAGACGCTGACAAAATGCAGAGTATTCTAAACACCTTGAGCAGCAATCTATGAATGTTTGGCATGCGATTCGCTCCCGCCAAATGCAAGATGATGTTACAGGACTGGACTATAGCGACGCCTAGTTTAAAAATAGGAAGTGAAGTGGTAGAGCACGTTGACCGCTTCACTTACTTCGGAAGTACCATCAGCCCCAACGGGCTGATCTCTGACGAAGTGTCAGGACGGATACAGAGGGCTAGTTTCGTGTATGCCAATTCACGCAAGATATCCAACTATCGACCAAAGGTGGGGTGTACTGCTCATCAGTCCGCTCCGTCCTCCTTTATGGCTGTGAGACCTGGCCACTGAGAGTGGAAGACATGAAAAGATTAACTGTCTTTGATCATAGGTGCGTGCGTTCTATCTCCCGTGTAAAGTGGCATAATAAGGTGAGCAATATTGAGGTTAGGCGTAGAGTTCTAGGTAAACAGGGGAAATCAATCGACGAAGTTGTAAAGTTACAAAGACTTAGATGGTTAGGACATGTGTTACGCAGGCATGCCTGGTCATCGCCTTCCTCGACGAACAATGTTAGCGGATGTAGGGTCAGGCTGGAAAAAAGCTAGCGGAGGTCAAAAAAAAACATGGCTTCACCAGTCAATGAAAACTACAGCAGTAAGTCTAAGCCACGTAGGAAGGTGTAGACTTCCAGGCTGGGGTCCCCGGGACGGTAAAAATCAATGGTTGGAAACAATTGGTGATATGGCTCAAAATCGTTCCCAGTGGCGCAGATGCATCCACTCCTGGTGACTTATGATTTCCAATGAAACTGTTTTGTTCTTCGTTATTACTATTCCTTTGTCTCACACCTCTGTTTACTGTCTGTATTATGCATTTCTATCTTCTTCTCTTGCTTTGTGTGCTACATGGAGTATGGCGACTTGAACTACCGCACATATGTGCAAAGTTCTATGTCGAAAACAGACAGACAGATCTTGAATATAGCAATGAATCGAGTTTTACCAGCTGATATGAATGTTCTCACAGACCCTGCTACCCCAGAAACGATAGTCGAAAGGTGATAAAACTGATATCAGATGTCATCGATGTAATAGGCGCCGTGTTGTCCTGTTGTTCTGGGGTAAACGGGTTTGTTAAAGGTAACTGCAAAAGTTTAGTTTCCTGACCTACCCTACTGTTGTGTAAAGCCGGTGATAAGGTCTTTTGAGAATAAATGTAGTCAAGGTTCCTTAAGTCGCCTCTAATCTAAAGTGAGGCAGAGCATCAAAACGTGATGTTACGACTCTAGTGGTGTTTTTGCATAGTGGTGATGAATTATTGACTGAATTAACTGAAGTACCAGTTTGTAAACGGAAGTTCATTTATTTTCTATCAGATTAGTATATATTGATTATAGCTGGACGACAGATGTTTACTCCTCATTCAGCCTACAGTCAGATGGTCAGGAGTTGTAGTTCAGCCCAAGGAAGTTGTACTGCTTCACAAAGTGTTCTCGACATTCTAGCTATCTCTCCTACTATGATATTAGAGTTCTATTCTTGGAGATCGTGTCTCTAATGAACCTAAATGGTTTACCGACACTATCTATGACTTGTGTTGATGTATCCTCTCTGATTGAGCGGATCCATTAGAAGACGGAAAGATCGGGATACCAGTTGACGTCTTTTCATAATCTCCACTCACGCTCACCCTCATTGACTGCAGTTCGGGCGAAGTAAATGATTAGTTCTATCAAAAGATTTCTAATTCACTGCTAAAAGCAAAATGTTCAGATAAAGTTTTAGTGGGTGACTTCAATACTCAAACAGGGAAGCTGCACCAGTCAGACAGGTATACTTGTAGCACTTTTAGACCAACTGACTGGGTTTCAACGCAGAAGTTTTCACAACTGTGCATCAGTTCAAGTTGATACATAACACGTAGCACATAAAGGCAGAAAAGTTTCAAAAGAACTATAATAAGCGGGAATTTACGGAAGAATGGTAACAGGGGAAAACTTGAAAATTACATGGAACTAGGAGGTTACAAAGAGTGTATTGATCTGCGCCACTGAGAATGGTTTTCAGCCATGTCACCAATAGTCCCCAGGACTTACACAAACTTACAGTTTATACCTTCCTAAGTGGCAGATACTCCAGGGATTTATGCAGCCCTATCCCTTTCTCCAGTGAGTTGGCGGGTCCGCGGTGGAATACTTACCAACCGTGAACGTGGTACTTATCCCATTCCCGACTGATACACTTAGTCGTCGCTAACCAAGTAATAGGTCGGATAAACAGGTAACATCAGGAGTTTGGCTGACAACCCACTCCCATCTGTCTGTCTGTTTTCGACATAGAACTTTGCACATATGTGCGGTAGTTCAAGTCGCCATACTCCATGTAGCACACAAAGCAAGAGAAGAAGATAGAAATGCATAATACAGACAGTAAACAGAGGTGCGAGACAAAGGAAAAGTAGTAACGAAGAACAAAACAGTTTCATTGGAAATCATAAGTCACAAGGAAGTCACGGGAAATAGAGCGCAAGCACCTATGATCAAAGATAGCTTACCGGCCTTTCATGTCTTCCACTCTCAATGGTCAGGTCTCACAGCCATAAAGGAGGATGGAGCGGACCGATGAGCAGTACACCCGCCCTTTGGTCGATAGTCGAACATCTCGTCTACGCCAAAGTCGGCGTAAACTGGCAAATGCGAAACGAGCCCCCTGTATTCGAGCTGATATTTCGTCAGAGATCAACCCGTTGGGGCTGATGGTACTTCCGAAGTAAGTGAAGCGGTCAATGTGCTCTACCACTTCACTTCCTATTTTTAAACTAGGCGTCGCTATAGTCCAGTCCTGTAACATCATCTTGCATTTGGCGGGAGCGAATCGCATGCCAAACATTCATAGATTGCTGCTCAAGGTGTTTAGAATACTCTGCATTTTGTCACCCACTCCCGTAAGAAACCGGCGCTGCGGAAACACCAAAACTAAAGTTTGAAGCTCTACATTGCACTCAGAAGACAAATGAATGAAGAAACCCTTTTTCCAATCCAATTTTATATCAGCTAATATTGCCAACTTGGCACTCATGACACGTGCCCTAGCCATCTCAGTCGATGCAGCTTCACAAACCCATCTATTTGCTTTCCCTCAGTACCTAACATTAGCATTACTTACCACATTATACCACTGAACACGGGAGAAAGAGTCTAAATATCTGTAGTCAAAGACATCTAGCCTTTTTAAGGTTTCCACTAGTAATGACCACATCTTGCAGCCATATGAAATAGGGCTTGCTTTTGCGCATTACACATGCCATTCCATCGGTATATGGATACCACGTCTACACCAGAGGTGACTTAAGTCGGCAAGTGACACACCAGCCTCTAATATGCGTGTCTAGATTTTAGCAGCAATCAGTCCCTTAAGGTTGATACATCATAAATAAGTGAGGTAGTCAATACGCTTAACCAATCTTTAAGCTAAGAGTTGGTGCAGACAAATTCTGCAGTATCATCTTACATTTCACATGGGCAAACCGCAAACCAAACATGCCAAGTTTCTTGCTCAAGGTGTTCAGAAGACATTTTGTCAATGTCTTTACCTAGAAGGACAATATTGTCCACATACTCTTAGTCGACGACACTGCACCTCACTAACAAGTCATTGCCTAAGTGTCTAAAGCTGATTAGAGTCAAACTCACTAGTACATATATGGTGAACATGTTATTCATGTTCCGCTGTATCACCACCTACCTTAAAAGTCATTCTTATAGTCTACCAATTGAAGTTAACTCCATTTTAAGTTTGTTTCTTCCTGGTGACGTTTCAGTTCATTAGCCATCTAAATTGTCTCCATTTATCACTATTGTTTATTTTGCTTCACGGCCAACCACCCTTCTCAGAATAATTAAGTAAATATTGATTTTATATGCTACTGATTGATTGACACAAGTAGTTGGATACCACTCAGTGCTTGCTAGCCAGATTGAAATGATCTAAGCATCAGACTGCGGTTTCATCGGTTTT